ACTTTAGAATTATCAGCTTATGAACTAATACTAGATTAAGCTATTTGCTTTTCACTTATTACTTCAGTTTTCAGAAAGTTGCCCCAAGTTATTGCAAACGTTTGTATTTTTATTGGCTTGGTGAAGGGAGTTGGCAGTATCAAATGGTCCCTAGTTAAAAGCCACATTACTACCTATGTGGAGAGTATAACAATTCAGAGAGAGAGAAAGTGTTACGAGGAAACTTCTTAGAGTATTGCAAGCCGAGGAGACAAAAAGTGAACAGCTGTTTATAAACAAAGGGAAATGAGAAAACATGAGACATGAAGTGTCATCATTACCTTAGTATCTTTGACTTAGTGACCTTCTTATTACATAATTGATTAAAATAATGTCTAAATTATCTAGTGCTGCTTTAACAGAAATACCACAGGTGGATGGCTTTAACAAACAGAAATTTATTTTCTCACAGTATAGGAGGCTAGAAGTCTGAATTCAGGATGCAGCTCTAGGGGAAGGCTTTCACTCTCAGCTCTAGAGAAAGGTCCTTGTCTCTTTGAGTTTCTGCTCCTATCCAATCGTCATGTGGCTTAGCATCTCTCTTCCCCCATCTCTGCTTCTCTCACTTGTTTGTTTAATCTTTTTTATATCTCAAAAAAGATTGATTTAAGACACACCCTACACTAATCCTGTCTCATTAACGTAACAGAGACAACCCATCCCCAAATGGGATTATAACCATAGGCATAGCGGTTAGGATTTACCTCACATACTTTTTGGGGAAACAACTCAATCCATAACAAATAGCAAATCAAATTTCCTATAATCCTAAAAGTGGGTTATATTCTGGGCCTAGGAAAAGGACATGAATATTAGCTCTGTGGCCTCAAAAAGTTTGCATACAGGTCCTGAACAGGCTATATTCTGGGAATGCTTAATGCTCTAGCTATGCAGTTATTTCACTTAAGAAACTCAGCACCCTGTAAATTAAATTAGGAAATTATATACAGCTTTATATGAAAAAAATCCAGGTTTATGTATCATCTTGATATTAGCAGAGAAGTTATAACTTTACGAAGAAAGTTCAACTCAATTCCTTGAAACTGGGTGTGCAGTGAGAGCATTTAAAGTATAATTTCATTTCCAGAGTGTTCTGTCCTAAATCTTCTCATGTGTTCTCCTATTTAAGTAGCTCATATGGTTAGACATTTTTCAGACAATTAAATATTTGAGAATAGTAGCTGAGAAGCAGCAGTCAATTTCCTCCAATTTATTCAAACTGAATATAGCTCTGTGCAAAAGAATGAAGTGAAGGGCAGTGGTTAGGTCGGTGGTTTTTTAAAAATGCATCTCTTCTTACTCTGAAAAAGGCCACTGGGATGCCATTAATTGTTCCAAGTTAGCGCCAAAAGGAGAAAAACATAATTATTTAGGGTTGGAAGCTCCCAACCTTCACTTGTAGATGATGAGAATGGAGTCAAGGAAGACTGAGTCTTAGCCAAGTTGACTTAACCACTGAATGCGAGAGCTGTAATTAAAATGCCATCTCCCAACTGCCAGTCTTGCACTCAGCAGCTGACTATGAAATAATCAACTCAACGAGCAGCCAAATGCCTTGCATATAAGGAGAAAAAACTGTCAGAGCTGGGGTCTTCGGTGCATCAGTTTGATCTCAATTAACCTCTCTGACTTTCTCTTTCTCACTTTATCTGGGCAATTGGGCTGAATACTGCCTGTCCTATGTACTAGGAAGATTTGGTTTGGGGATCAAAAGAGATAAAGTCTGTGAAACATCCCTCATCACTGAAGTACTATGTAAGTGATAAGAGTCTTGATTTGTTGAACACTCTTTGTGTGCCATTCATTGTGGGGAGCATCATTTCATTATCAACACACGCCCACGAGGCAGGGACCACCATCACCGTTTCTGTACAGGAAAGGTAAAACTTTGGTTACATAACTCACCCAAGGCCCCACAGATTTGACCCCAAACCTGATCACTAATAATAGCACCTCCCTGGCATACAAAGATGTGATGGTCAATGATAGTAATTAGCACTGCATATAAATACAACAGGAGAGTATCAGATGAAATATTCACTCTATATGAACTATGTAATAACAACAAAACAATTCTAACATTTTCCTGATATTTTACAAGTGATTAAAAACTATTGTCCTTTAAGTTTTTTCAAGAATATCATTGTGTTGTTTTTAAGAAATTTTAGCTCCCCTCCCTTTTAAAGAATGAATTAGTAATAAATTAGTGTCATTCAAAACAAGGTTTCAATTATTTACTTTTTGTGTGTCTAGCATGGATGGTGCAGGACCAGGCAGTGTTTTGTTCTGCTGTGCATAGTGTTGCTATGAGTTGGAACTGACTAAACAGCTCCTAATAACAATGGTATGGGTTTTATAAAACATTTTTCTTGAATGTGAATGTATAATTTAAAAAGATTGATTTTTAAAATATTGAATTTAGGTCAATTCAGCTTTTCTTACAGTCTCTTTATGATAAATGTGAACTGAAAATTGCAATACTTCATTCAGATGGGGCTCCATGGACACACGGAACTTCAACACCTGGGCAGTTCACTGAAATAAATGACCTCCTCATAGAATATGGTCATTAACCTTTGAGGAGATATGCAATTGACTGATCTCCTATTTGTTTTCACTTTTCAACAAGTAGTGTCACTTGAGCATAAATATATAGTCTTTTACTGAGGAATGCTTTGATTTTCTCGAGAGTCTGGGTGTGTGTAGGGGGAGCTTCAACTTTAAAAACTTTTTGTCATTTTTAGTTTCAACTATGACTAAGATGTACTCGGTGAGTAACTGACATCACCTACTAGGTCACTTCCTTCCCGCCCCCAGGGGTACTAAGGCATAAAAAGTTTTAGCGGTTAAAATATTTTATTCTTTGCATTCTCCTCATCATACAGAAGAAAAAAAAAATCACTTCTTCTAGTGGATCAATATAACAAGTGAGTAAGCCAGAAGATGGCGTTGAAGATTAGCAATCACATTTTAGAACAAGATAGGCTTGTGCAGTCTCAGAAAGTTTCCTACAATGACTGCTCAGGGTCAGAGGGTGTGGATGAGTTAGGAAAATGTTGAAAATGACTAAACCTGGTGCAGAGCACATGTGTCTGAAAGTGCAAAAAGCTCTAATGGGCCATTTTTGAATTTAGCAATCCCCTTCTGACTGATACGTTTGTGAACATTTTTTAAAAAAGTAATTCACTTTTCACATGAAGGCAGTGATCTTTGCTTTGTTCACTGATGTGTCCCAAATGCCTAGAACACTTTCTGACAAGTAGTGGGTACTCAAAAAGTATTTGTTAAAGGAATGAATCCTCAAAAGAAAAAGAAAGGAAGAAAAACAGGTTGTAGCTAGAATTTTCTTTGAACAAAACCGTGTTATTTATTGCATAGTGTCTGATAATGGAAAACTTAACTTGGGTGAAATAAAAATATGGCATCCTGTTGATTTCTGAGAAGATCTATGAGTTTTAGGAAAAGCATGCGCTCTGTACCTCACTGCCTGTTTTGTTCTAGCATAAGCTAGTTTCTTTGAGAGGAGACATTGACCCAATATATAAGATTAAAAGAAAAACTGAGAAATAAGTGAAATCAAAAGATTTTCAAAAGTTGCAAGTTGACCTGGAGTGGTGGTGGTCTAAAATCATATAGAAACTCATGATCTGACAGTTTACCTGAAAATGCTAAGTAAGTAAACATGCTCAGAACATCCAAGACCTGCTTTCACGGTCCTCAAATGAGTATTGTAGAGTGAAAGTTCAGTTGGGGGTACTGGGGAGTTAATTTTTATATTAACGACATCTTAGAAAACTAAATAAAACACTTTTAAAAAAAAAACAAAAAAAACAAAAACACTGCCTTTGAGTCAATTTCGACTCATAGCGACCCTGTAGGACAGAGTAGAACTGCCCGAAAGGGTTTCCAAGGCTGTAATCTTTAGGGAAGCTGACTGCCACATCTTTCTCCCCCAGGGCTGCCGATGGGTTCAAACTGCCCCAAGCGCTTTAACCACTGGGCCAGGAGGGCTCCTTAAATAAAATCCTACATCTACTTAAATATTTTCCCATTTCTGACATTTATACTCCAACAACAAACTGCTGTCTCTCAAGTTGAGGCTAAAATTAAGCCATTTTAAGGTAAAGTTCGGAGATGATTAAACACTTGGATACTTCAAGACCCCTCCCAACTCTTTCGTGTTGTCATAACTGAAACTTGGGGGGTCTACGCATTGTCTGAGTCATCTCAATTCACCAGTTTAACAGATGCAAAACAATGTAAGCATTTCTAAACATGTAAGCACATATTTGAAGAACAGTTTATATGCTCAAGGGATTTGGGCCATTTCCTTTTTTCTTTTCAAAGAGTGCGATCTTTTCTAAACACCTCAGAGATGACCCTGGTGTGCTGAGGGTCCCCCCAACACCCAACAGACACAAACACAGTCTTTTGATACGGACAAATTCTTGTCTTCGGTAAGCGTTCTGCAAACGCAGCTTCCAGATCGGCTCTCTAGCCCCTTCGAGTCAGATTTCCGCTCCTACCCG